TCATTTGGGGCAAGTATAGAACATCCTGAGATTAGATGGTCTATTGTTTCTTGGTATTTGTCACAGAACCTGCATTTTGGATCCACATTATTATGTATGATATTTGCCTGAAAATTCCTAGTGAAAAGACTCTGGTCTTGCGCTGCAAGAATAAAACCTTCAGTTTCAGACTTTAATCCAGATGCTCGTAACCATCGATGAGTATTAACTTTATCAACATTGGGTTTATTTGCACGTTCTGGATATTGGCCATGCAGAGGTTTGTCTTGCCAGCGTTGTTTCATCTGTTCAAGGGCTTTATCCTTGGCTTTCTTTTTCATATCTTTTGCTGCAATAGTTGGTTCTTGGCTTCTGTTTTGATTTACTACAGAATCTACTAAATGTAAATGTTGTTTGTATTTACTGCCTTCTTTTATTATTGAATATTTTTTCTTTCTGTTTTCATGTTGTTTCACTAATTTTATCATCCAGTCATTTGTTGTTTCCATGTAAGTTAGTAAGCCAATAGTTGTTGTCTTGTATGACAATTCTAGCTGATTATTATTATTATTATTATTATTATTATTATTATTATTATCATCATCATCTTAGGAAGTAAGCTCCCCATCAATACTGGAAAGAGCAATAACAGCTACTGGATTTTTTTTTCCTGAAGAATTGTTTTAAGAGAAAGATTTTATAAATTTCAACCGATAGCAGCACCTACAACCCAGTCAGTGAATGACGAATGTTTCCTTATAAGGAAGTGGCTAATATTACCATTACCAGTAGTAGTAGTAATATGTTAGGAAGGAAATCCCGAATAATACTGAAAAGTGCGTTAATAGCTACTGGTCTTCATCAACCAATTTCCCTAAAAGTTGTTGTTAGGTTAAGAAGGAATCACACACCAATACTCGCAAGAGCGATAACAGCTACTGGACTTGAAAAAATTATTTCCTGAAAGATTGGTTTAAGAGAAAAAAATGTATAAATTTCAACCAATAAAATTGGCTTCTCAATTCGAAATGCTCCCCTATAAGGGAACAGCTAATATTATCATTACCATTATTATTATTAGTAGTAGTAGTAGTAATTCCTTGAGTGATCATCTTAGTAGTGGAAAGGGTACCTGGTAGCTTGCTATAAAATGAAGTGGCAGCAAATCTCCTCAATCCTCCAGTCTTCTCACTATTCTTTTAGTAATGCTGTCGTCTGGATGCTCCTGACATTTTTCACGTCTTGCATTTCCTCCACCGATGTTCTTCCAGCCATATTCCTCCACTCTCCGGCATAATGTAGATTGTGTCGGGATAGAGTTATGACGGTAGCTTTGTGGAGATGAGATACGAACACTGTGCAGATCGACGTGGTGAGACGAGGTCTGCGTGCAGAAGGGGATTAGACTAGACGAAAAAATGTTTGGCGATAAAGACAAGATGAAGACCGCGTGAAAATAGAGATGAGATGCGCTTGGGGATGGAGATGAGATGCGGTTGGGGATGGAGATGAGATGAGATGAGATGAGGTCGGTACGGAGATAGAGTTGGCGTGTAGACATTACGTCGATTGAGATGAGATGGAGACATTGTGAAGATAGAGTTAGACGGTCACTGTGTGTTTGCGAAGATAGAGATGAGACGGAGATACGATATAGAGATGAGATGACGGGTGTGTGGAGAGAAAGATTAAGCAGTGATAGAGGTGAGATTGATTTTTGGGTTTGGTTTGGTTTGTTTTACGGCATATCAACCTATTTTTCCCTTTAGTTGTTGGTCTATACTCATTTCGTTCTGGGTCCCGACCAGAGACCTAAGGTCAGAAAGGGCATTATGACATTTTCTACTGAGCAGAAAAAATAAATCGTACATATTTTATATAGATAAAGCCTTTCGTAAGATATGGGCTGTACTTGTGAGTAGAATTTTTTTGTATTTCTTTAAGGCATAGGGTACCAGGGATTCCTTCAATGAGTCTATTATTTGGTTTGTTTTACGGCATATCAACACCTCAATGGGTTATTTAATGCCGACAAGATTTTTATTACTAGTAATATTTTTTGAAAAAAAATATTGCTGGTAATATATTTTTTCCAAAAATGTATTGCTGGTAATATTTTTTTTTACCAAAAATATTTCTTTTTTCAAAAATGGCTGGTAACATTTTTTTTCCAAAAATGTATTGCGGGTAATAATTTTTTCTTCAAAAAAGAAATAAAGAATAATTTTTTACAAAAATGTATTGCTGGTGCTAAAACCTATCTTTACACCTTCATAATGTTTTGACCCCATTTTGGGGTTAACTATTTGTCCATAGCTTGGACCCTAACAGATACTACCACCCCGAGTCAGGGTGGACTCGGGAACATCAGTAATTAAAAGGTGGTTCCACGCTCCTGGAAACCTCCAGATAAGAGGCCTTGCTGTTGGATGTAGTTTATCGTCTTACCCAGGACACAGATGTAGTTTATCGTCTTACCTAGGACGGTGTGTGGGGGGGGAGATTGTGTGGTATCTGAAATGGGGATTGTGTAATGACAATATCAGAGAGAGAAATAGAAATGAAGAAAGATGTGCACTTATATTTTATAGATCACTCAAAATTATTTGGCGGCTAGGTACGAGACACGGATTTATTTGAACTACTAGGAAAACTAGATCTACTTGGAATGGATGGTAGAGCAGTAGTTGCTTGCCGCTCGTATCTGAGTATGCGTTTCTACTGTTGTAGACGCCTGCTCAGACACATTTATGTTTGTTCAACACCCACAGAGTCCATCTGTGGTTTATACCATAACTATGCTAAACGGACCTTTGTTACAGTTCTTTGGAGAGAGGACATTATCTAGCGTGATCAACAGTCTGAACAAGGTCACGATGACTTGTGCCCTCGGTCACGATGACTTGTGCCCTCGTCCTAGTACAACGATCGACGACTCCCAAATAGTTCCATCTACCCACTTTCGCTAACAAGTCTTGGGTCAACCCATGGTTATGACTTTCAGGCACTTTGCGAAAATGCCGCGCTCTGAGATCGCCTCTTCAAGCCGATATCATCTCGAAGTGACCTTTCTGACAAATCGGCCATGGTGAGATTCAAACCCAGGTTTCATGGTCGGGAAGAAGAAGAAGAGGAAGGCGTAAGACAAGAAGAAGAGGGGGAGGAGAGAAGGAGGGGAGGAGGAGAAGAAGAGGGGAAGAAAAGAAGAAGTAGTCTAGGAGAAGGAGGAGGTGGAAGACAAGAAGAAGAGGGGAGGTTGAGAATAAGAGGGGGAGGAAAAGAAGAAGTATAGGAGAAGGGGGAGGCGAAGGACAAGAAGAAGAGGAGGATGGGAGAAGGAGAATAAGAGAGGAAGAGGAAGAAGAAGAAGGGGGAGGCGGAAGGCAAGAAGAAGAGGAGGAGGAGAGAAGGAGGGGAGGAGGAGAAGAAGAGGGGAAGAAAAGAAGAAGTAGTCTAGGAGAAGGAGGAGACGGAAGACAAGAAGAAGAGGGGAGGTTGAGAATAAGAGGGGGGAGAAAAAGAAGAAGTATAGGAGAAGAGGGAGGCGAAGGACAAGAAGAAGAGGAGGATGGGAGAAGGAGAATAAGAGAGGAAGAAGAAGAAGAAGGGGGAGGCGGAAGACAAGAAGAAGAGGAGGAGGAGAGAGAAGGAGGGGGGGGAGAATAAGAGGGAAGAAAAGAAGAAGTAGTCTAGGAGAAGGAGTAGGCGGAAGACAAGAAGAAAAGGGGAGGTTGAGAATAAGAGGGGGAGAAAAAGAAGAAGCATAGGGAGAAGGGGGAGGCGAAGGACAAGAAGAAGAGGAGGAGGAGAGAAGGAGGGGAGGAGGAGAATAAGAGGGGAAGAAAAGAAGTATTAGTCTAGGAGAAGGGGGAGGGGGAAGACAAGAAGAAGAGGGGAGGTTGAAAATAAGAGGGGGAGAAAAAGAAGAAGTATAGGAGAAGGGGGAGGCGAAGGACAAGAAGAAGAGGAGGATGGGAAAAGAAGAAGAAGAAGAAGAAGAAGAAGAAGAAGAAGAAGAAGAAGAAGAAGAAAAAAAAAGAAGAATGATTACGTTAGCTGTTTCTTTTCTATTTTATAGTCACAGAAATCGCAACGAGTTTATTCAGTCATTAACTTTAAAATCAGAAATTCATCAGAAAATTCCCATAGGAAAACCGTGTAATATTCACGTGTGTTGTTAGTTTGTATAATTTCAACTTCCTGTTTAATACTCGTTGGCATTGAGTAAATGTATTTCATTGCATTGCCGTCCGGTTGTCACATTCATCTGCATTTCCACTCAAAGATGCACAGATTAAACAAACAATGATGTCTATGTTTCCATCTCAGCTGTGTCTCGGCTCAGTTATTTGCTTTCTACTTTCACATTCAAAGCCATTACACGTCCACAACTCTTCAAAAGACATAGCTTATAAATAAATAAGCAAATAAATTTATTCTGTTTCTTTATGGCACAAACCAAAATCAATTCAAAATGATGCATCTCATAATCTGCCTGTCCAAAACCGAAAGATAAAGGCTTTGTATTGAATAATGTAAATAAAAATGGTTCTTTCTCTTTCCAAAAGAAACTAGAATCAACTGAAAATGATGCTTGAGTATTATTGTCAAAAGCAGAAGAATAAAGGCTTTGTATTTATTATCATGTCATATTTTATTTTCAAAATGTGACACGGGGGAAGATCTCGGCTGTAGACAATGTAGGCAGTGAAAGAGTTGGATTGTGTTTATTTTTCTTGTCAATAGATGTCGTTCTATAGAAAATCTCGGAAGAATCAGAGATCTCTTTCACCAAAAGATAGAGTAGGGACATTTTTTTTTAAGAGAGAGAGAGAGAGAAGAGCAGTAAGCGAGCTCTCTTGTACTAAACTTTTTACGAAAACACGATTTTGGTTTCAGAAAGTGGGCCTCTAAAAAGATCAGAAAGCTATGGTTAAAAAAAAAAAGAGTACACCGTAAGAAACAGAGTGAGTGGGGAGAGAAAAAGAGGGAGATTTTAGGCAATATAACGAGGGTGAAACATGAAACAAGCTGAACCTAGGGGTGGGGAAAACGTGAAAAGCAAAACCTGGAGAAAAATAAGAAATAGGGGGAGTAGGTGAAGGAAAGGCGTGTAAAAAATTAGAGAATATATCGAATAAGAGTAGAGGTGGGAGGATATACAAGTAAACTTAGTTTAGCCTAGTCTAGCAGAGAGCCCCGAGGAGGGTCAAATTCACGAGCAATGGCGTGCAAGACAAGGCGCCTAACGATTTTTGGATGCGAATCTAAACATAACCGTGGATACCTATCAATCCTCAGAGTGCAAAAAATAATTTTGATTTCTCTTCATTTCCTTTTGCTCAATACAATTTACTAAGTTTTACTTTAATTTGATAATCTATATGTAAAAAAGGATGGAGTAGCGGTCGCATATTGCTCGTATTTTTCTACCATTGTTGCGGTGTCCTCCCTCTTAAGAGCCTATGTTAGATTCTTCCGCCTACTATAAGTTTAGTAGGAGAGAAGGAACAGTGAACAGATTGAGCGCTAGTTCATTCGATACACTCTCACTAGTCTCTTCTGGTGCACTTATTGTTTAATATACGATATATCTGCAAACCTGGTTTTTGTTATTACTTAACCATTTACCTGGTCACAACAACCATCATCTGCTTTATATTGCTTTGTAGGGATGTAACAATAAAGCAACATTAATAAATCGGAAAGATGCTCATTGTTGAGGCGAAGTGTTTAAAAAAAGAGGCAGTTTCTAGAAATTCTAAGCAAAGGCATGTGAATACACTACTAAGAGGTGATCCCATCGGCAATCCAATTTTTTGTATATCGAGAGAGAAATAACATTCGTTTGTAATGAGTCAACAAATAATTATAATTTTTTATCGATAGGGAGAGGTTACTTTTTGATTTGGTCAAGCGCTTACTTCGAAGAATTAAGAATTTCTTAAATAGTTTGTTAATAATGATAACTATATGGGCGCGTGGCCGAGTTGTTATTTGTTGACTGTGGTTAGTTCGAATCTCACCACGGTCGATTTGTCAGGAAGGTCACTTCCTGATGTTATCGGTCTGGAAAGTGCCTGAAAAACATACCACGGACTGACCCAAGCCTTGTGAGCGAAATTTGGTAGACGGAACACTTGGAGGCTTCGATAACTGTGCTAGCACGAAGTCACAAATCATTGTGACTGAGGGTTTGAGTGTTCTGGCCTTGTTCAGATTGTTGATCACGCCAGATAACACGCTCTCTCCCAGAAACGGTAATTAAGGCCTGCTCAGCATAACTGCAGTATAAACCACAGGTTGGCTCTGTGGGTGTTGAACAAACAAAAATGTGCCTGCAATAGAGATCGGCTAACCGCCCTAGTAAACAGGTATCCTCGAATACGAGTGAAATGATAACTATATATCTAAACTGGTTGTGAATTTATCTTTCATACATATATATTGAATGGAGAGGGTGTACATCTCCAAATATGATAATGTTTGGAGGGAAAAAAAGGGGAAGTAATGCGCATACAACTATATACTTATTGCTAGGTTCTTTTTTTCTATCTCATTTTTATTCTTTTCTTTTCCATATCCCTTCCTTCCTGCCTGAATACCTTCCTTCTTTTTTTACCTGCTTATCTTACTACCTGTCTTCTTCCCTGTCTGTCATCCTTCTTTCCTTTCTTCCTGTTTGCCAACCTTTCTACAGTGTGCCTTCCCACGTTTCTTCATTCCTGCCAGCCTTACTTCTTTCCTGTCTGCCATCCTGCCACCCCATTTTTTTCTGCTTGCTTACTGTTAGATTACCGCCTCCTGATTAATAAAATCTCACTGCGGCGAGATTTTGGACTTATCACCCCCACCCCCCAATGATTTACAGGGGGCGCGAGATTCGAAAGACTCAATCTCTTTCTCGACGACTTTTCATAGCGAAAAGACGTATTCTTTTCGCTCCTGCAAAATGTATGCTATGTACGATGCGTAATACACGTTTAGGCGATCATGTATCTTTTGATACATGACTGACGAGGTAGATTTTTTTCCCAGCTGTAGGTTGCGATTTCTTTCTGCGGTAGACCAGTTGCCATCCAAGGCTATAGAACCCGGTCTGTCCTGCTATTTACCCATAGCTGGGGGAAGAAGAAGAGGATTCATACCTTTCCCAAGGGTATTAGCACGTAAGTGAAATGTAATGGATTCGACTAGAATTCGAACTCGGCTCGCCGATTCCTCAATCCGGACCGCTATATATTAATGACATTACCATGTCTAATCAAATACAGACACTTGCTTTGAAATCTTCACATTTGAATTCATTTCTCATCTTTTCTTTTGTAAAATGTCCTGGCAATATATTTGTTAATATTTCTTTGTTCAAACTCTGTTTTATAATTCCTTTGGATTTATAAGAATCCAACAAAATTGTTAGCGGTTCAAATGTACCAGGAAAATATACCTTCACATCAAAAGTGTCTATAACCGCTACACAATCTTCCTTGTTTTCTGTCTTCTTTCCTGCATTTTCCTTTCTGTTTGCCTATCTTACTTCCTGTTTTTAGGCTTGCCTGTCTTCCTGCCTTCTTTCATTGCTTCCTGTCTATCTGCCTGCCAACCATCCTTTCTTCCTGCTTGCCTACCTTCCGTCCTTTCTGCGCATGCTTGTCTTCCCAGACAGGCTGCATTCCTACCTTTTTGTTCTTTCCTGGCTGCTTGCCTGCTATCCTTTCTTCCTGCTTGCCTACCATCCGTCCTTTCTGCGCATGCTTGTCTTCCCAGACAGTCTGCATTCCTACCTTTTTGTTCTTTCCTGGCTGCTTGCCTGCTATCCTTTCTTCCTGCTTGCCTAGCTTCCGTACTTTCTGCGCATGCTTGTCTTCCCCAGACAGTCTGCATTCCTACCTTTTTTTTTCTTTCCTGGCTGCTTGCCTGCTATCCTTTCTTCCTGCTTGCCTACCATCCGTCCTTTCTGCATGCTTGTCTTCCCAGACAGTCTGCATTCCTACCTTTTGTTCATTCCTGGCTGCTTGCCTGCTATCCTTTCTTCCTGCTTGCCTACCTTCCGTCCTTTCTGCATGCTTGTCTTCCCCAGACAGTCTGCATTCCTACCTTTTTGTTCTTTCCTGGCTGCTTGCCTGCTATCCTTTCTTCCTGCTTGCCTACCTTCCGTCCTTTCTGCGCATGCTTGTCTTCCCCAGACAGTCTGCATTCCTACCTTTTTGTTCTTTCCTGGCTGCTTGCCTGCTATCCTTTCTTCCTGCTTGCCTACCTTCCGTCCTTTCTGCATGCTTGTCTTCCCAGACAGTCTGCATTCCTACCTTTTTGTTCTTTCCTGGCTGCTTGCCTGCTATCCTTTCTTCCTGCTTGCCTACCATCCGTCCTTTCTGCATGCTTGTCTTCCCAGACAGTCTGCATTCCTACCTTTTTGTTCATTCCTGGCTGCTTGCCTGCTATCCTTTCTTCCTGCTTGCCTACCTTCCGTCCTTTCTGCATGCTTGTCTTCCCAGACAGTCTGCATTCCTACCTTTTTGTTCTTTCCTGGCTGCTTGCCTGCTATCCTTTCTTCCTGCTTGCCTACCTTCCGTCCTTTCTGCGCATGCTTGTCTTCCCAGACAGTGTGCATTCCTACCTTTTTGTTCTTTCCTGGCTGCTTGCCTGCTATCCTTTCTTCCTGCTTGCCTACCTTCCGTCCTTTCTGCGCATGCTTGTCTTCCCCAGACAGTCTGCATTCCTACCTTTTTTGTTCTTTCCTGGCTGCTTGCCTGCTATCCTTTCTTCTTGCTTGCCTACCTTCCGTCCTTTCTGCATGCTTGTCTTCCCAGACAGTCTGCATTCCTACCTTTTTGTTCTTTCCTGGCTGCTTGCCTGCTATCCTTTCTTCCTGCTTGCCTACCATCCGTCTTTTCTGCGCATGCTTGTCTTCCCAGACAGTCTGCATTCCTACCTTTTTGTTCTTTCCTGGCTGCTTGCTTGCTATCCTTTCTTCCTGCTTGCCTACCTTCCGTCCTTTCTGCATGCTTGTCTTCCCCCAGACAGTCTGCATTCCTACCTTTTGTTATTTCCTGGCTGCTTGCCTGCTATCCTTTCTCTCTGCTTGCCTACCTTCCGTCCTTTCTGCGCATGCTTGTCTTCCCAGACAGTCTGCATTCCTACCTTTTTGTTATTTCCTGGCTGCTTGCCTGCTATCCTTTCACTCTGCTTGCCTACCTTCCGTCCTTTCTGCGCATGCTTGTCTTCCCAGACAGTCTGCATTCCTACCTTTTTGTTCTTTCCTGGCTGCTTGCCTGCCATCCTTTCTTCCTGTCTGTCTGCCATCCAATATTCCTGTTTGCCTACCGTCATTCTTTTCTTTATGTCTACCAAGCTTTCATCATTTCTTTCTTTCTGCCTTCCTTACATTATGCCTTCCTTCTTTCCTTCTTATCTGCTTGCCCTCTTTTTGCAACCCTACCTGTCTACCATTCTTCCTGCTTTCCTTCCTTCCTTTCTACCAGCCTGCCATCCAGCCTTACTTCATTCTTGTCTGCATGCATTCATTCCGGCCTGTTTTTTCTTTCTTTCTATCTATCTATCTATCTATCTATCTATCTATCTTTTATTCCTTTCTGTGTGCGTGCCATACTTTCTTCCTGCTTGTCTAACTTCATTTTTCTTTCTGTCTGCCTGTCTTCCATGATTTCTTTCTTTCTTTCTTTTATTCTGCCTTCCATCTTTCCTTCATTCCTTCGTTCCATTCTTCCTTCTTATCTGCCTGCCTTCTTTCTGGCAACCTACCTTTCTGCCATTCGTCTTGCCTTCCTTTCTACCACCCTACCACTCTTCTATCCTTCCTTTCTTCCTTCCTTTTTACCATCCTTCCTTCCTATCTGCCTGCCTTCTTTCTGCGACACTACATTTCTACCATCCTTCCTTCCTTCATTCATTTCTAACTTCCTTCCTTCTTATTTGCGTACCTTCTTTCTGCCTTCTGACCTTTCTACCATTCTTCCTGTCTTCCTTCCTACCTTCCTTCCTTTTTATCTGCTCGCCTTCCTTCTGTCATCCTATCCTTCTACCATTTTTTCTGCCTTCCTCTCTTCATTTCTACCTTCCTTCCTTCTTATTTGCATGCCTTCTTCCAGTTACCCTACACCCTACCTTTTTACCATTCTTACTGCCTTTCTTTATTTCTTTCTACCATCCTTCCTTTTTATCTGTGTGCCTTCTTTCTGCCACCCTAGCATTCTACCATCGTTCCTTCCTAAATTCCTTCTTTCTTATCTGCGTACCTTCTTTCTACCTTCTTACCTTTCTACCATTCTACCTGCCTTCCTTTCTACCTTCCTTCCTTTTTATCTGCGTGCCTTCCTTCTGCCACCCTACTTTTCCATCATTCTTTCTGCCTACCTATCTTCCTTTCTTCTTGTCTGCCTGACTTCTTTCTACCACCCTACCATTCTTCTATCCTTCATTCCTTCCTTCCTTTCGACCATCCTTCCGCCTGTCTTCTTTCTGCGACACTACCTTTCTACCATTTTTCCTGCCTTCCTCTCTTCATTTCTACCTTCCTTGCTTCTTATTTGCGTGCCTTCTTCCAGTTACCCTACACCCTACCTTTCTACCATTCTTCCTGCTTTCCTTTCTTCCATTCTTCTTGTCTGCCTGCCTTCTTTCTGCCACCCTACCATTCTACCATACTTCCTTCCTAACTTCCTTCTTTCTTATCTGCGTACCTTCTTACATTTCTAAAATTCTACCTGCCTTCTTTTCTTCCTTTCTACCTTCCTTCCTTTTTATCTGCCTGCCTTCTTTCTACCACCCTACCATTCTTCAATCCTTCCTTCCTTCCTTTCTACAACTCTTCTTCCCTATATGCCTGCCTTCTTTCTGCGACACCACCTTTCAAACCATTTTCCTACCTTCCTCTCTTCATTTCTACCTTCCTTCCTTCTTATTTGAGTGCCTTCTTCCAGTTACCCTACACCCTACCTTTCTACCATTCTTCCTGCTTTCCTTTCTTCTTTTCTTCTTGTCTGCCTGATTTCTTTCTGCAACCCTACCATTCTACCATCCTTCCTTCTTAACTTCATTCTTATTTGCGTACCTTCTTTCTGCCTTCTGACCTTTCTACCATTCTTCCTGTCTTCCTTCCTACCTTCCTTCCTTTTTATCTGCTCGCCTTCCTTCTGTCATCCTATCTTTCTACCATTTTTTCTGCCTTCCTCTCTTCCTTCCTACCTTCCTTCCTTTTTATCTGCTCGCCTTCCTTCTGTCATCCTATCTTTCTCCCATTTTTTCTGCCTTCCTCTCTTCATTTCTACCTTCCTTCCTTCTTATTTGCGTGCCTTCTTCCAGTTACCCTACACCCTACCTTTCTACCATTCTTACTGCCTTTCTTTCTTTCTTTCTTTCTTTCTTTCTTTCTACCATCCTTCCTTTTTATCTGCGTGCCTTCTTTCTGCCCCCCTAGCATTCTACCATAGTTCCTTCCTAACTTCCATTCTTCTTGTCTGCCTGCCTTCTTTCTGCCACCCTACCATTCTACCATACTTCCTTCCTAACTTCCTTCTTTCTTATCTGCGTACCTTCTTACATTTCTAAAATTCTACCTGCCTTCTTTTCTTCCTTTCTACCTTCCTTCCTTTTTATCTGCCTGCCTTCTTTCTACCACCCTACCATTCTTCTATCCTTCCTTTCTTTCTACGACCCTTCTTCCCTATATGCCTGCCTTCTTTCTGCGACACTACCTTTCTACCATTTTTCCTACCTTCCTCTCTTCATTTCTACCTTCCTTCCTTCTTATTTGCGTCCCTTCTTCCAGTCACCCAACACGCTACCTTTCCACCATTCTTCCTTTCTTCCTTTCTTCTTGTCTGCCTGATTTCTTTCTGCAACCCTACCATTCTACCATCCTTCCTTCTTAACTTCATTCTTATTTGCGTACCTTCTTTCTGCCTTCTGACCTTTCTACCATTCTTCCTGCCTTCCTCTCTTCATTTTTACCTTCCTCCTTCTTATTTGTGTGTCTTCTTCCAGTCACCCTACACCCTACCTTTCTACCATTCTTACTGCCTTCCTATCTTGCTTTCTTCTTGTCTGCCTGCCTTCTTTCTACCACCCTACCATTCTACCATCCTTCTTTTCTTCCTTCCTTTCTACCATCCTTCCTTCCTATCTGCCTGCCTTCTTTCTGCGACACTACCTTTCTACCATTCTTCTTGCCTTCCTATCTTCCTTTCTAACATCTATTCCTCTTATCTGCTTGCCTCCTTTCTGACACACTACATTTTCTACCATCTTTCCTGTCTGCCTTCCTTTCTTCCTTTCTACATTCCTTCCATGTTATCTGCCTGTCATTTTTCTGTCACCCTACCTTTCTACCATCCTTCCTGCCATCATTTCCCCCTTTCTACCTTCCTTCCTTCTTGAGTGCCTGTCTTCTTTCTGCTACCCTTCGATACTACATTCTTCCCTGCCTTCCTTTCTACCGTCCTTCCTTCTCATGTACGTGCCTTCTTTCTGTGACAACGCCTTTCTAGCCTCCTTCATGCCTTCGTTTCTTCCTAACTCCCTTATCTACCTACCTTCCTTCTGCATCCTTATCGATTTAATTTTCTTCCTGCCTTCCTTTCTAAATTCTTCCCTCCTTTTCTGCCTGCCTTTCATCTATCACCCTATCTTTCTGCAACTATTCCTGCTTTCCTTTATTCCTTTCTACCTTACTTCCTTTCTTATCTGCGTGACTTCTTCCTGCCAACCTACCTTTCTGCCATAATTCCCGCCTTCCTTTCTCCCTTCCTTCCTTTCTAACTTACTACCTTACTTTCTACCTTCCTTCCTTCTTCTATGTCTGCCTTCTATTTGCCGCCCTATCTTTCTGCCATTATTCCTACCTCCTTTTCTACCTTCCTTATTTCTTATCTGCGTTCCTTCTTTCTACCACCGTATCTTTCTACCATCATGCCTGCCTTCCTTTCTAACTTATTTCATTTTTGTTATGGGAACTTACCTATAACGATAATGGACTCTTCCTGACACTATAAATACTGCGCGTCTCAAGAGGTATAATGAATGAATGGTGTAACGAGCACCAGATCATGACTGTTGAACTCTCTGCTTTGGCAGAGAGGAACCCGGACGAAGCTTTGCCGAAGGACAAGGTTTCGTCCGGGGAGGTAGACAGGCCCTGAACGCGTCTAGGCGGGTTCAAAGGGTATATTTTTAGCCGAGTCTACGGGCTCGGGAAACCCACATTAAACTTGGCCTTGTGCCACATGCAACCCACGTGGGGGGGGCTAGATACGGAATGAATGGTGTAACGAGTCGAGACAATATTAGTTCACTCTAAACCAGAGGGGCAGTCATTACTAACGCCTTCAACAATCTTGTACTATATTTCTGTTGTTATTCTACTCTTGTGTTCCTGTTGTTCTTCCTTGGTTCTAACTTTGGACTATAACTGTGGTGCAAGGATATTGGACCATAACACTTATCTGCGTTCCTTCTTTCTACCATCGTATCTTTCCACCATTATGCCTGCCTTCCTTTCTAACTTATTTCTTATCTGTGTGCCTTCTTCTGCTAACCTATCTTTCTACCAACATTTCTATCTTCCTTTCTAACTTCATTCCTTCATTTCTCCGTGTCTCCTTTCTGCCACCCTTTCTACCCACCTGCCTTCCTTTCTTCCTTTCTACCTTCCTTCCTTCCTTCTTATCTGCCTGCCTTCTTTCTGCTACCTTACCATTCTACCATACTTTCTTCCTTTCTACCATCCTTCCTTTTTATCTGACTGCCTTCTTTCTACCACCCTACCTTTCTACCATCCTTCCTGCCTTCCTTTCTAACTTCCTTTCTACCATCCTTCCTGCCTTCCTTTCTAACTTCCTTTCTACCATCCTTCCTGCCTTCTTTCTGACACCATACCTTTCTACCATCCTTCCTGCCTATCTTTCTTCCTTTTACCTTCCTTCCTTCTCATCTGCCTTCCTTCTTTCTGCCACCCTACCTTTCTACCATCCTTCCTCTTTTCTTTCCTTCCATTCTACTTTCCTTCCTTCTTATTTGCCTGTCTTCTTCCTGCCACCCTACATATCTACCATCCTTCCTTGTTTTCTTCCTTCCTTTGTACCTTCCTTCTTTCTTCTATGCCTGCCTTCTTTCTACCATCCTACCATTATATACCCTCCCTGTCTTTCTTCCTTCCTTTCTAACTTGTTTCCTTCTTATCTGCCTACCTTCTTTCTGCCATCCTACATTTATAACATCCTTCTTGTCTTCATTCCTTTCTACCTTCCTTCCTTATCTGCCTGTCTTCTTTCTGTCACCCTATCTTTCTACCACCCTTCCTATCTTCCTTTCTACTTTCCTTCCTTCCTTATCTGCCTGACTTCTTTCTGCCGCAGTAGATTTCTACCACCCTTCCTGCCTTCCTTTCTACCTGCCTGCCATCCATCCTTACATCGTTCTTGCCTGCATGCTTTCATTCTTGCATTTTTCTTTCTTTCTTTCTTTCTTTCTTTCTTTCTTCCTCTCTACTTGTCATTCTTTCTTCCTTCTTGTCTACCTTCATCATTTCTTTCTTTCTGCCTTTCTTCTTTCCTTCTTTCTGCCTGCTTTCTGTCACTCTACTTTTCTACTATCCTTCCTTCCCTTCTTTTTTTCATGCCTGCCATCCATCCTTACTTCCTTCGTGCCTGCATGCTTTCATTCCTCCTTTCTTTCCTTCCTTCCTTCTTGACTCCCTTCTTGGCTGTCTGTCTGTCTTGCTTCTCTGTCATTCATTTTTAGCTTTTCTACTTCGTTTCTTTTTCCATCTTTTTTTTTTAACTCGTTTTTGTTACAGCTTCATTCCACACGCTTCTCATCATCATCATTTTATTTTTAATGAATGCAAATGGACACCTTGCGTACCAAACTTTCCAAATCTTACGCATGTAGTAATGAACCTAATAACTGATATATGAGACTCTAGATGCGGGCGTGAATACAGAATCAAGGCAGGATGGGTGGATTGAGAAAGATTTTAAAAATTCATAACTCCATTTTTTTTTTAAATCTCTTTTCGTAATGAATACCTTCTGATCCAAAAAATTAAATGTCAAAATAAGGATTCAAGCGGAAAAATCTGTGAAATACGGTGAAATTTCACTGAAGTCTTCGACATTCGAACACATTGAAAGGGCTTGATCGAATATCGAAATTCGCCAACACATTACGCGTGCACACACAGTCGCATCAATATCTGCACATATGTGATATTCAATTAGGTTAAGATGGGACAACAACAACAAAAAATGGAGTTAGAAAATTGTGTTCCAACAAGTTGGATGTCTTTCTGCTTTGAAAATCAGCATTCGGATTTTGTTTACTTCCACATGGGCTTGAACACTGATTATTGCCGCCAATGAGAAATAGGAAACAACTCGGTGACAAAGAAAACCAACACATCCGTACATATGCATAAACATGGGTTTATCTACTCCAAACGATATTTTATGGATACTCATGTTTAAGTAGACTTTTTTTTTTGCAATGTGTCTACCAGATTGCGTTTTCGAGAGAGAGAGCAGATTTTCTTTATTAAATCTTTCGAATAAACGGGTCATTAGAAGTAATTTGCATTGTTTAAAAAAAATCAGGTCGTCTACTCAGACATGGGTATCCAGAAAATAACGTTTGAAGTAGGGAATAAAGTCAGATAAAGAATCCATTGATTCCTGAGATATTACATACATTTATATAATCACATTCTAAAGTATGAACAGATACATACATACGCACAGGCACACAAATTGGGTACGATAGATAGATAGATAGATAGATAGATAGATAGATAGATAGATAGATAGTAATAAATTGGCAACGATGCCGGCAGTATGGTCTCGACTGTACAGAGAACTGGTACGAACATTCACTATTGTCAGTAGCTGAGAATGAGCAAGTGAAGCTCATGGGCGATATAACTATCTTGATTGACAAGCGCTTGGAAAGCAATCGCCCTAATGTCACATTTGTGCACAAAAAAAGCCAAGAACATCGTGAACGTAGACCAGGCGACAATACAGTGGTAGCAGATTTTCACTTTTGATATCAGCTGATAATTTAAATTTATCGAACTGATTAGATTCGGAATAATTTTTTTTTAGAATACTTCGTTAGATTTTGTAGTTTTTTTTTTAGTATATTTTTTTTTGCATTCCTTTCAGAACGAAAGCGGCCATGGCTCTCCACAGATTCCTTTTCTTTATTATGTGTGAATTGCCATGCATTCTTGGGGACAATAATTGGGTGGTTTCCGGTTGATTTTTCCACGATTTGTAATTTAATTTTCCTTCTCTTAGACTGCCAGCCACGTCTAGAGAGCCAAGTATACATTGTTATTTAACTCATAACTGGGAGAAAAGAACCGGATCTTAGATTTTCTCAGGAGCGAAAATAAAAATGCTGGGATGCTAGGCCGAAATTTGAATTCGCCTCTCCGATTCAAATTTTCACGTTGATAACCGTTATTTGAATAATGAAGTGTGTCTCTTTTTGCCTTCTCGATGGTTTTGAATTTAGATTACCTTCTCCTAAATTGGCTTCCATCCAAGGCTAAAGAGCCCAGTCTGAACTTTTATTTAACCCATAGCTGGTAAGAGAAATGATAGATTTCCTAAGGATATTAATGCAAAAATGAACGCCAATGCTTCCCCGATTGCTACAATCTTAACCTGTTCAAGTGTAGGGTGTCGACCCTTGTCTTCCTCACATATCCCCATGTTCCTCTTACTCTGTAACTCTCTACTTCGAGTGGCTCTTGGGACTTGTACGGTGTGAAGATTATTGTAAAAAAAAAACAGACTCGGTAGAAATATTTAACTCGACTTTCCACACTGATAACCTTTGTTCTACCTTCATGTTAGTTATTACTGTCAAAATGTAATGATTTTCTTTCTAAGTTGTGGTATTTGCCTCTGTGGCCAGCGTGTTAGTCATGCAGGTTATGAATAGTAAGTGTGCTTCGGCAAGAAGCCTTATTCCTGCATCCTGTGCCAATCCTAACAAATATCTGGCCTCACACCGGCGCATGACCACACACGTAAAAATGCATTCACAGCATACGTAAGATAACTTAGAATATCTGAACACACATATGCGCAGGGAAACACTCCCTTAGAGAAGAAAAAAAAAAGAAATTCGCTGAGAAGTAACGACGTAATTCCCTGCGTCTTTTGAAATATTTTCATGGCAATTCTTCTATTGAGCTTTCCTCTTTTCTTCCTCGAGCGCATGAATTTAGACTTACTACTGGACTGGCAAGGAGACACGGTGAAGTAATGGATAGCGGCTCAGATTGAGAAATCGGAGAGCCGAGTTCGAGTTCCAGTCGAATCCATTACATTAAAAAAGGGCGAAGATCATATTAAATGTTGAAAAATGAGAGAAAGAGGGAAAAGTTTATAGTTATTCCAACAAGAGAAAAATGTATATTTTAAAAAAGAGAAAAACCGCAAACGTTTTTTAGTTATAATGTGAATTTGTTTTATTATGTATATTACATTCATATTTCTGTTACAAGTGTTTCCGATCTCGTGACCTTCTTCAGGCAAATAAAAGGAATAAATTTTCCTTATGTTCTTTTAATGTCTCATTGTTTTCTGTATTTGTAAGTGAGCGTTCACTCCTTTCTGGGTTGCTGGTAAAAGTGAATTTTTATCTAAGTGTTAATAAAACGATTAGGTTTGGTATTAGAGATGGTGATGATAGATGTATTTATGAGAGATGTCTTCCTATCCCTGTGTGTGTCCGTGTTCCTGTTAGCCTGCATATGTATACTCCCTCACCATACTGTCTTATAATAAAGAATCTAATAAAAAAAACCTAATAGTCTACGTGAGATTACCCTGTATTGGATCCTATAGTCAATCATGCGCTGATAAGACCTTCTCAACTGTCCTGAACTGCTTCAATTCTGTAGTAAAACGGAACATCTTTGATACTAGGAGTGCTTTCCGATCTTGTCTACTAATCAACAAAGTTCTGTTATTTATCGTTTTAAGTGTCGGTGTGAGGCCAACTATATGGGTAAGACTATCCAACAGCTGGGAAGAGGAAAAAGATCGTCAAACAATTGTCTGATGACCTTTTTCCTCTTGTAACTGAAGAGTTCCATTATACGAAAATGAACCCTAGACCATAATTGATCCACATCCACTGTATCATGTTGAGAAAAATTATTTTGAGACATCTTTTTCATGCCAGTAACGTTGAAAAATTTTTTTCTCGTCTAAAGACAACACTTTATTCCATTTATCCACATCCCAAGTTTGATAATCGGAAGCAAATTGTAAACGGAAGCAGCCATTTCAAGTTCGTAAACCCTTTTTTATTTCAATGATGTCGAATTGTTCGAGAGCTGCATTCAGCATCTGTATTCGCTTTTATCTGATTTGATGTTAGGCTTGAATCTCTCTTAACTTCTCGCCTAATGCGTCTGTCTAGAGATGGTAAGATTTTATTGGGGCGACCGCTTGATTTTTTAGAAGCATACGCATCCGGATTTTTAATAAAGTTAGCAATGACAGTTCTGCTACGGCCAATTTCATTTGCAATGGCTCGTTGCGAAAGACCACGTTTTTGAAGTTCAACACTCCTGACCTGTTCGAACTTTAAAATTTTACCCTTAGCCATTTTAAAATCTGAAATCTAATACTGAAAATGAGCTACGCTACACGCCTGAATCTATGAGCACACTGACTAGTTCTAAAATGTTTGTCCAGCAATTTGTTTTTTTCACACATGGTTTTATCTTTATGACCAACCAAAAAAATCCTTTTTTCAATGTTTGTTTAAATTAATCAATTAAAAGCTTAAAATTTTCACTTGTTTCTTGATAAACTACATTTTCTAATTAAATGTAAATGTTTCACAAATATATTTTGATTAAAGTAACAGTATTTTATATTTTTTAACCCTTTTTACCCTAAGATTTTGACCAGGGGTGTATATATATATATATTTAGTAAATTAGACAAAGTGGAAAAATTGTTTTATAGGGTACACGATCGCCTTCGTTAGATAAGGCGTCTTTGAGTCAGAATGTCATCTGTCTGTCTTGTGAGTTTCAAATTTTTTAAGTACTAATTCTTTATCATGTACACGAGAAGATTCAACTGTCTCTTCCTGATGTGAAATATTGTGTTCTTTTTATTTCCATCTTAATCATAAAGTGAAATTAGATAAAAATTGAAATAAATGAAATAAAAGGATTAAAATGGCACCAGTGGGATGAGAAGAAAATGGCACAAATAGAATGAGAGGGGAAAATGGCACAAATAGAATGAGGAAAAAATGGCACAATTGAATAAGTGGTGAAAATGGCCCAAGTAGAATGTGAGGAGAAAAAAATGGCACAAATAGAACGAGAGGAGAAAATGACGCAAATAGGATGACAGTGGAAATTGGCACAAATAGAATGAGAGGAAAAAATGGCACAATTGAATAAATGGTGAAAATGGCACAAGTAGAATGACAGGAAAATGGCATAAATAGAATGAGTGTAAAAAATGGCACAAATAGAATGACATGGGAAAATAGCACAAATAGAATAAGAGGGAAAATGGCACAAATAGAATAAGAGGTTAAAATGGCACAAGTGGAATGAGAGGAGAAAAAAATGGCATAAATAGAATGAGAGGAGGAAATGACACAAATAGAATATGAGGAAAATGGCACAGTAGAATAAGTGGTTATAATATGGCACAAGTTGAAAGGAAGGAAAATGGCATAAATAGAATGGGAAGAAA